CTTGGAAAAACAAATTTTTTAATTGAATTTATTGAGGTAACATTGGTTAATAAAATTATATAGGTTTCAGTCCTGGCTGTTGTTGCTCAGTGGTTAGAACATTGGCCCACACATCTCTCTCTCAATCCATCCCTTCCACTCTCTCTAAAAATCAATGGAAAGAATATCCTCGAGTGAGGATTGACAACAAAAACAAATTATATAGGATTCAGGTGTACAATTCTGTAATACATCAACTGTATATTGTATTGTGTGTTCACCACCCCAAGTCAAGTCTCCTTCCACCACCATTTATCCCCCCTTTACCCTCTTCTACCTCCCCCCACCTCCTTTTCTTTCTGGTCTACCTCCTCCCCCCTCCTTTTCTTTCTGGTCTACCTCCCCCCACCTCCTTTTCTTTCTGGTAATCACCAAACTGTTAGCTGTCTCTGAGCTTGTTGTTTTTTGTTTTTTTTCCTTAATCACTTCACCTTTTTCACTCAGCCCCCCAGTCTTCTTCTCAAGACCCAACAGAGAGTAACCACTTCCAAGTTCATTCACATGGCTTTTGATGGGCCTTAGGTGCCTTTGGTTTTATTCTTACCACATGGGCATTTCTATAGAGCAGCTCACATTGTGGCAGCTGGCTTTGTTCAGAACAAACAAGCAAGCCAGGGATCAGGAGAGAAGCCCAGAACTAGAAGCCAGTCTCTTTGTTACCTAATCTGGGAAGATACACCACATTGTCTCTGCTGCATTCTATTTGCTAGTGGTCCCTAAATTCATCCTGCACTCAGGGGGCGAGAATTACACAAGGGGGTAAAGAATAGGAGGTAGGGATCATTGTGCCCAGCACACATAATCTATACAAAATATAAATATGTACTAATCACATAAACGCACTAAATTGAATAATTATATTAGCTGCTATTATTATTTCTTAACCATTATACAAAATTAATAATTATGTAAACATAAACTTTCCTGGTGATTTTTCCCCCCATATTTGCAAGTTCCAGGCTTTCTGTTTTCGTTTGTTTGTTTATGAGTTGCAAGGGAAGGTGGAAATTTTCTTCCTGTTAATGAATGTATAGTATTTGTCCTATTTTGTTTGTGTGTAGCCAGTTTTTCAAAACTTTTGTTGTGGGTTCTATTTCAGGAAGCTTAAACAGAATCCTTAACTTGGACCAAGCATTTTACCTTTGCATGGTCAAGGGAGGGTGGGTGTAACAATGCAAGACCACCAGAAAATTTACACCACGCAGAATGAGACAAAAGCACTAATTATTGTAGATATAAGTTACATATGTTTCACATGCACTGATTTTCATTACAGCCTTCTTGTTACAATCCCTTTGTTAAAAAAGGAATAAGTAAAATCCCGTTGTCTCTGGAATAACTTGCTCACTTCCTCTGCCTCTTCCCCTTCCTTCTGTTCCCCTCCGATCACACTTCAGTGCGTTGGCTAGTTGTTCCACTTGCTGTTGTGCTCTCAAACCACCTTCTTCTTTAGAACTTTATCCTCTACTTCTTTGCATTTGACTCAGTTTTTGAATGTTTCTCTCTCGAAATAGGAAGTTACTATTTCAAGTCTTCATCTCAACTCAGTTCAAATGTTGAAATTTTGAGTTGTTATGTACTGATCGTTCTGTCAGCTAGAGATGAGTAAAACCGAGCCTCTGCTATCAAGGAACTCTCAGTCTAATCCGAAATACGAATATGTAAAATAAATAATAACGCTGATGGCATAATTATAAAAACAAAGAGGCCCCTCAGTAGAGGGGAAGGTTAATCCTTCAGAAGCAAGGGGGTCAGGAAAGGTTTCTGGGGAGAGGCAGCACTGAGCTGGGTTGTCATGTACATATAAGCATTTAGATACTAGAGTTGGGCAAAGGATATCACAGAAAGGAAGGGACAGAAAGTGCCATGTACAGAGGCATGAAGAACAGTGTGTTATAACAGGTCTGGGGTGCTAAGAAGCAGCAAGTTCTCCTTTGCCCAAGTTTTCTGAGGACATACGTTGGCTGCCTCTAAATCCTGCGGTGAGTCCATCTTTTAGGTTTGGCTGTCTCTACTCTATTGCTTCATTCCTCTATGCACACTGCTTTCTCTTCCCTCCCTCCTCCTCCCCCACCTCATATAACCCTCCTCCCTTCTTTTTCTTCCTTTTATGGAATATTTTTGTGTGTCTGTTTGGGCCCTGGATTTAATTTAGTTGGATTGGACTGTAGTAATAACGTTTCTGTACATTTGCCCAGAGGCCTTCAACTAATGGGTGTATTCTTACAGGCCAATAAACAGATGAATAAATCCAGTTTGCTGTCCTGTATCTTTGCCTCCCTCTCTTCCTTTGCACTTTGCCCCATCTTCCATTGCTTGGAGACCTTTTTAGAAAACTAAAATTTTCCTAGGTAACGCAAACATTAGGTTGCCTTCATTAAGTCACTTGTGCACCTGCCACTCATTTCCATGGAGGACTTCCCTATCGCTGGAGAATGTGTTCTCTGCCCATTAGAGACCCAGCCTGTGTCTAGTGGGAGTTCTGCTGCCCAGAGGCCTCTTCCCCAGTGTCAACGAGAACCTCGGAAAATTATAGGTTCACATCTGTGAATGACCCTTGCTCATTTTTGACCACTGATGCTGATTATCATGTAATTCCATGATAAACTGATAATGTGATAGAACAGAGGCTGAACAAATCACCTTGGACAAAGTAAATAGGAGGTTCTCCGAACGTGGGGATCCAAGCCTGGGCTCTAAAAATAAATGGGGAGCTGCCATGAAGGGGGAAAAAAAACTAACCAAACTACTCTAAAACCAACTGCACTTCTGCATGTTGATTAAGCCCAAGAATAGATGGTGGTTTCTGTTCTTCAGCCAGTTCTCGCCTTGCTTTCCTTTTCTCCCTGTCTGCCTCCTTCTGCCCTGCTCTAAACATTCTGTTCCATGTTCACTGACCTAACTTCAGACTCCCTCCCAGGACCCCAGGAGAGTGCCCCCTCCTACTGCCTGGGGAGGCTTCCCTGCACTTCAGTCTCTAGCTAGGCCAGCACATTGAGGTCATTGCTTTCCCTGCCAAACGATTGGCCTTAGTTCAGTTTCTCCATCTGTCTGAGCTTCATGGAAAACATGATTGTTGCTCTAGGCTCTTTATTATATGACCTGCCTCGGATTGTCTGCTTTGCATCTGCTTTTTTGTTTTTCCCCCCGATCAACACCCCCTGCCTTTTCCCCCCGTGACTCTCCCCAGACTAGAATCACATCTGTTTTCCAGCCTCTGTACTCTCACTGCAGAGCAGATGGAAGAAGAGCAAGTTCTGGGCCAAGCAGATGAGGACAGAGCTGGGTTTGTACTCAGATTTGTTCTAGGGACTCACCAGAATACATGTATCTCAAAAATGGCACCCTTACAGCTCCTTCAAAGGAGTCAGAGGTGCTAGTCACTCATTTCTCATTATATCCAGTGCTCTCCCTTCCTTCCAGCTAGACAGCTAGTTATTTCTCTTCTTTCCTCCCTTGCTCCCTCCTCCCCTTCCTTTACCCTCCTTTCCTCTAGTCTGTAATTTGTTAATACAATCTGCTCTGTGTCCATCTGTACTCTTCTGTAAGTTAGCTCATCAGAGAGATACACAGTGTAGACTACAGGAGTTAACAGATGCCTTGACATTTGCAGTTCTAGGGCACATAAGATTCACCACTCCTCCTTTTTGAGATTCTATAATTCAAGTTGATTCTTTCTAAAGTGGAGATATTTTATGGTCTAACCACTAGGGTTTCTATGAATAAGAGAAAATACAAAAGGTTTTAATAAAACTCCTGGATCTGAGAAAGTGTTATCTGTGGGGAAGCACGGGACTTGGTTGGAATGTCTGCATGGAGGATTCTCTGAAAGGTCGGGGGCCTCTGGGGGGACCTTGCCAAAGGTGGCAGCCCCTACCTTGACTTTTCCAAACAAGTCCGATCCCCCGGGGTGTTTTGCTAGAATCTCTATGTTTAGTCTCTAAAGACCCGACCTTGTAGAAGCATATACTTTCTCAAGGATGCTTACCCTGCTGATTGTATCTAGAGGTTAATTTTAGTTCAAGCTGTTGTGACAATAAAGTCTAAGAAGGCAGGTGAACAGGACTGTTTTTTACTTCTAAAGTAAAACAGTCCCTTAGCCCTCTCTTTCATAGAAACGTGTGTCAGAGCAATCTGTTCATCCGTCGCTCAGGGTCTGCTGGTCAGCCATGGCAGCCATCTACATATTACATAATATGAGGAAAAGCACTGGTGGAAAGTAAGTCCAGCAGAACAAACATAAACTTGGCCCTCAGCTTTCTTTGGGCTTCTGATGGCATTTTGTCCTTAAGATTCCAGACACTAAGATTCTTAGCATAAACTTAGACAAAGCCAAAGACAAAATACAGCTGGCATCTCCTCCCACAGAGCTGCTCCACATTCCAAAATGATTTAGAGGGCACTGCGTCCCTCAACTTTTTCGAACCCTAAGACAGACAGCCCTCCTCTTGGACAAAATTTATGTGGTGTCTGTTTTTGCTTAGATGTGGGAATAAATGGGATTTCTAGAGGAATAAAACAACAACAACAAAAGTCTGAATGAGAGGGTCAAGAAAGGCAAAGAAAGAAGATAAATATAGGGATACAAAGGAATTTGTTGGACTTGAAGAGATGAATGTCCAAAATGAACAAAACTGAGAAAGGAAGGTGCAAAAATGATTCAAAGATGGAAGGTAGTCAGAGATAGGAACAGTTTCTGGTGATGTGCAGAAACACATTCCAAGGATGAGGTAGAATCGATTAGGTAAGAAGGAACCCAGGGAATGGGGGTGGAGGGTGCCCAGGCCAGATTGCGAGAGGGAAAATAGGCTCATGGAAGAAAGGCATATGTGGGCTTGGGCCAACCCTTCCAGGGAGCAGCAGTATCTATCACCAATGTGGTAATAACCTTTGGAATGAGGGTGTGAGTGACTGCAAATTCCCATCCCCCTTCTCATTTTATCCTCATTACACTCCTCTAGCCTGGCTCTCTCTCCCTCTCCCTCTCTTTCTCTCTCTCTCTCTTTCTCTCTCGCTCTACCTCATCTCATTGTTTCAGGAGGCCAAATTTGAAGTCCTTCCCAGGGAGTGGCCCTGTTCATCTTATTCTCCAGCCAAAGTGGGAATAGCGTGAGAAGGAGAGAGACACAGTCAGCAGCCAAAGGACTCGGTGGAAAGAGCAGAGGACCATAGACAGTGAGTTGTTTCATTGTATAAAACCCTAAATAAGCAGAAGGAGTGTGTATGTGTGTGTGTGCATATGTGTGTGTGTGTGTGTGTATACATTGAAAGGCTGGAGGGGGGCAATTGGGAATCTCATTGAACAACTTAAAATTGAGCAGACACCTCAATTAGCCACAAAATTCAAATGAAAGAAGACACCAAGGTGAGCAGATGACATAAACACGTCACAGATACCAAAAGAGGAGATCAGACTCTAGGGGTGAAAGAGACCACAGGGCAGGGGCAAACATGGACCATTCAGAATATAAAATTTTCTCTGACCTGGTAGAAAAGAGCAAGGAGAGTGAGAATAATGGTAAGTGACCAAAGAATAGAATTTGAATTGAGAAATAAATGTCGGGTGAAAGATATGAAGAGGGAAAGGGTTTGAGTGATATGGGGGACCAGGAAAGGTCCTGGGAAGACAAAGAGATGTGGGCCACAGACAGCCTTCCCTGGAACTGAAATGCTGATGTGTCCCTGAGCGTTACAATCTCTACTCTCCCCACCATCCCTGTTAGATATGCTGCTCTTTGGACCCAAGGTGCTGCTGTTTCTCACTGCACTCATCATTCCCTCAGGTGAGTCCCTACCTTTATTCTTTTCTCCCTAAGATGCTAGCTCCTCAGCTATACACTTGTCTGGAGGTGTGTGTTAGAGTGGAATGGAAGGAGGTTGAAGGGGAATTGGTAGAGAAATTCTAGCTCTTGAGTTCTAGAATTGCTATGAAAGAGAAGAAAGGAATAGATTTGTGTTTTTAAAAAAAAGGCAGAGATATGGAAAGAGATGACCTCAGACGTAGGAAAAGGTATCCTGAGAGTTATGAAATTAAGGTGAAATACATACAAATGCATATTAACCAAAAGAGGCTCACACACATAAATACCCAAGTACACAAATATCAAGGGAAAAGGAAGCTGATACACACACATGTACAGACCACCTAATAAGAAAGTAGACCAAATTTAAATCCTGTAGAAAAACAGTAACACATACCAAACACTAGCACCAGCATACACACAAGTATATTCACTTGCACAGCAAAAATATGTGCCAAATCTATACACAGAACTAAATGATCTTCACAGATTTCACAGAAGCTGGCTAGAAGTTTAGTCATGGAAAATAAACTTTAGATTTTTTTTTTAAACCTACTTTATTTTTCTCATTCTGCCACATACAGACTTTGAGAAAAGAATCTTTTTGGCTTGTACAGTAGTGTAGCTAGTGGGATGGCTGTGGGCATAGAAGGACAGGACAGGGTAGAATTGCTACTGGCTCTCTCTGTGGAACAGGACCCCATTCCTTCTGGCTGGGAATGAGGGCAACAGGGCATGCTGAGTCAGGGCAAAACAGAGCAGGGGTTTGTTCTCAGGAATTTGTTGTCTTGCTTAAGTGTTTCCACATTTGTGTGTAGCACTAATGATCTGAGTAATTTTGTATTGAACCATATAAAAATAAAACACAAAAAATAAAACACAGAAAGATAACGTACAATAACTTCCCCATCATTTTCTGGTTCATTTGATTAAAGCTTTTTGGGGCCCTAGCTGGTTCGGCTCAGTGAATAGAGTGTTGGCCTGCGAACTAAAGGGTCCCGGGTTCGAAATCAATTAAAAAATATTTTTAAAGCTTATTTTGGGGGGGGGGGTTTGTATAGAGCTGGAGTCACTCACATCTCTTTTCTCATTCCTTTGTATAGACTGGACACCTCTAGGGGTCAGTGGTCAAGAAGGTAGGTGAACTTTTGGATATGGGCTTTGTTGAGGTTATGTAAATGAATGGTCAGAATTAAAGAATCTGTAATACAGCAGAGATGTGTTACCACAGTATGGGAAATAGGATCTAATTCACCAGTTTCTCTAATCCTATTATCCCATTCATAAAATCTTATCTTTTTTTATTTATCTACCAAAACACTTTTCCCAGGACCTCCTCTATACCTATCTCTTGCTTATACTCTCCTCTGTTCATCTCTTATCTCACTCAGAAAATGCCCACTAATCCTAACAGAAAGCTTTTTCCTATCCATGTGACAATGGAGAAACTAAAATGCAAAGACAGGATTAGTAATTATCTCAGTACTATAGGCAAGTTGTGGCACAACTGAACAGAACTCAAACATTTTGGCTTCCAAAGGACTACTTCCTTCACCTTAATGAAGGAAATTCCAAGACATTCAACAAAGTTATAATTTATCTCTTACTATTTACAACCCTTGTGAGCACAGCAGTATGTAACTCATTAATGGGTCATAAAATCAAATGAGTGGGTCACAACTGGTATTTTTTATAGAATTAGGGTAGACTAGATTCATTTCTTTGGACTGGGTAAGGCCCAGTCTTGGACCTTATCTAATAACTAGAGGCCTGGTGCACGGATTTGCACACCGGTGGGGTCCCTGAGCCTGGCCTGCACCCTCTCACAATCTGGGACCCCTCAGGGGGTGTTGGATTGCTGGCTTCAGCCTGATCCCAGGCAGTCTAACATCCCCTGAGGGATGTGGTAGTGCACGAAGCAGCAGGCGGCCAGGGAGGAGCCCGAGGTCAAGCGTCTCGCTGCTGCCACTCATCCTGGCCCTGCTGCTCCTGCTGTGGGAGCGCACTGACCATCAAGGGGCAGCTCCTGCATTGAGTGTCTGCCCCCTGGTGGTCAGTGCGTGTCATAGTGACCAGTCGATTGGTTGACCGGTTGTACGGTCGACTGGTCGCTTAGGCTTTTATATAGATAGATAGATATCTATGACTTTGTGTTGCTTTTCTATCAGAAATATTATAATATAAGATGAAAATGTCTCCTTAAAGATTTCTTTTCAGAGAACATAAATTCTAGGTAAGTATTTATATGGTGATAGCTCATGGAAAAGGTGGGTGAATTGAGGAATATGCAGAGAAGCAGTATTCTGCCCTGAAATCCCCAGGCAGCTGGGATACACTCTCAACCCCCTTGCCCTCCCTGCTTCTCTTCTGTTTCTGTGAGTGGCTGGACTGGAATATGGCTAGAGAGAAAGGAAACAGGGCCAGATTGGGCTACACCCCAGAGGCTCTACTCCCCTCACAGTCTCCGGAATGATTCGGGTCAGTGGTTTTTCAAATATCCTGTAAGACTGAAAGATACCTGGATCCCTCTTATCAAGAGTTGCTCTAAAAGAAGAAAGTTTATACTGAGCAATAAAGATAAAAATGCTCTATTGTCAGATCTGATTATTCTTCTGTCTGGAATTTTTTTTTTAATGAGGTAAGCAGTTAGCAGGAGAAATTCCTTCATAATGCTTTATTTGTGTTTTTCCTCTACTACAATGATCAATAACTCTGGTGTGCTTCATTAAAATGCTATTCTCACTACCTTTAAATCTGACATTTAGACTCTGAAGTTAAAAGAAGTCAAACCAAATTATGTGAATTTGCTGACCCCTAGTGGGTAAAATAGATTATGACTATAAGCTTTCTACAATGAAGGGTCATTCTAGCTGGGATATTTGCTATTGCTATTAGATATTAACACTGCTTTGTTATTTTTTTTTAATCAAAAAAGTTGTTACAGGAAGTGCTATTATTTGTGGTTTTAAATAGGTACAGTCTTCTTTACTTATTCCAATAGATTCCACCTTAAGACATGGACCATTTTTATTCCTTCTCCTCCTGCCTGTACTTTTCAATGATCAACTACAAGGCATTGTCTACTAACACAGGCATTTTCCCTCCCCTCCCTTCACCTCGCTTCTCAATGAGCATCATAAAGTTACCAACATCACCTTTTGTAAACACTCTTGTATATAAGCATATCAGCAGACTGATATCCAATTACATCAAAGTTATAAATAGCAAAATCAGTGTCTTTGGTAAAGATAATTTTCATTTTGAGTAAGCATTGCAAAAAGGTCACCAATCTATTGTACTTATTAGCAAGCTCTATGACCTTGGGTAAATTATTTATCTGTAAAAACAGGGATTTAAACAGCGCCTGGCACATAATTAACTCAGATTATCTAAATGTAGTATCATCTGTTAGGACAATAAAAATAATATAAATTATTCCTAAGTTTAATGCTTAATCAAAGTCCAACTGAGAAAGGGGTGTCTGTGGAAGATTATCTGATGGGCATGTAGTTTAACTTATTCATTCCTCTATAATACAGACAAAGGAAAGAAGACATTCTAGGGTCAAAGACTACAAGGGTCAAGGACTACAAAGGTATATTCATGGAAACAGGAAAGTGACATTTGTTTGGGTTAGAGGGGAAAGGACTTAGGCTGGGAAGCAAACAAGAAAAACAATTGTGGAATACATACTCTATGCTGGCCACTGTGCTTGACAATTCCACTTACTGGGAGGGGTAAAAAGAATGCTCAGAAAATGTTTTCTGATTTTTTTAAAAATATATTTTATTGATTTTTTACAGATAGGAAGGGAGAGTGATAAGAGAGTTAGAAACATCGATCAGCTGCCTCCTGCACACTCCCTACTGGGGATGTGCCTGCAACCAAGGTACATGCCCTTGACCGGAATCGAACCTGGGACCCTTGAGTCCACAGGCTGACGCTCTATCCACTGAGCCAAACTGGTTAGGGCATGTTTTCTGATTTTTTATTTCTCTCTAGCGACTGTGAAACCCGAGGAAACCTCGACAGAAGATCCTAGTAAGTTTTTCTTTATTTCTTTGCTTTCATATTGGGGACAGAAGGATTGATGCTGCAGTCTATACAAAGAAAGCCTAAAAAAGAGGTTGGTGGGCACTCTGAACTCATGCAGAGCTCCATTGTCTATCTTAGATGCCACCGATGCTGCAAGCATGCCCAAGCTTCTTCTCTCCTCCATTTCCTTCTGTGAAAGTCCCTTACATTCGCCCCCACAGTCCACATTCTTTCACCTCAATCTTTCCTGCCTCCTTTTAGATCATCATCCCTTATCCTGCTTCCCTTTCTACTTTTCCTACTTGCATTTTTCATTCTCTGTGTTGTTTCCTTTGCAGATTTGGTAGTTGAACTCTCTACAGATGAAACAGGTAGCTTTTACTACAGTTCTTTAAAAATGGCATGATTCGCACAACATTTATTCCAGCTCTTGAGTTAATCCTATTTTTTTTTATCTCTGGGAAAGGCATAGAGAGATTGTGGGCATGTTGTTTAGTGACAGTGAGATAAAAAGAAAGAGAGGGCCACTAGTCCTCTAAAAAGAGGAAACAAAGTGGATTAATAGTTAAAATAAGTCATGAATGATAAAGGCTCCTCCAAATTAGTATAATGTCAATAGGACAAATATTCTTCAAAAATATTCACAATTACTTCAATTCTACTTCATTGGACATAATACACAAACTCAGCCATAGCCTTGACCTTGACCTAATATTTCCATTCTCCTTTTTTTTAAATTGATTTTTTACAGAGAGGAAGGGAGAGGGATAGAGAGTTAGAAACATCTATGAGAGAGAAACATCAATCAGCTGCCTCCTGCACACCCCCCACTGGGGATGTGCCCACAACCAAGGTACATGCCCTTGACCGGAATCGAACCCGGGACCCTTTAGTCCGCAGGCCGATGTTCTATCCACTGAGCCAAACCAGTTAGGGCTCCATTCTCCCTTTTTAATCCTGCCTCCTCCCTTGCCAATTCAAAGCCCTCCTCACACCTGTTGTTTTGTGCCTTTTCAGCTCTGGCCGATATTGTGCCTTCCACAGATGACCTGGGTGAGTTCAGATCTGGGAGCCCAGGGCCACCGGGGCCATTCTGGGCTTTCCCTAGAGCCTATTATGGAAGGCATGACAGCTGGTGAAGGATCCTAAATATACAGGGTTACAGTTTATGTAGCACTTTCTTCCCACAATTCAATTTAATGACTTTTTTGATCCCCTAACAAGCATAACTATGCCAAGTGTTTGATGTACAAAATACCAACCCATGATCTTTTAACGTTTCTAATACATATGAGTAAAACAAAATATATAAACAAAGAACTGTATGGGGAGATAAAGAAAAACTTTCTAGAAGTAATGGTCAAGCTGAATCTTGAAAGAAGAATTGGTGCAAGCCAGGCAATTATGGAAGGGATGTGCATTCCAACCAAAGGAAATAGCTGTTCAAACATGTGAAAGCAAAATAGAGCTTGGCACACTGGAAAAACTGAGATTTTTTTTAATGATTAGGGTCAAACCCACAAGGAATAAGTGGTAGGACATGAGAAAAGGAGATCACAACTACATTATTTTAAGCAAATATTTACTGAAAACCTGCTACGTAGGTGCCAGGGATATAAAGGTAAATAAAACTAATTTTCTTCTGCTAGATATTTTTTGTCTAATAGACAAGATAGACAAGTGAACAGATGAAAAAGAGCCCTTGACTATATTCAGTGTTTGGAGTTAGGAAAGGCTTTTCTGGAGAGCACATTGTCTAAAATGCTTCTTGGAAGACAAATAGAAGTGAATCAAGTGAATAGAAAGGGAAGAGCTTTAGGTAAAGAAAATAATGTGGGTAAAGGCTTGGGGTGGAAACAAAAACCAATCAGAGTATAGTTTATGCAAAGGAAGGTTCCAATCAGACTTATGAATTGGAAAACCAATGAGGATGACGTTGTGGCAGTCCCAATAAAAGGTGGTGGCCTGACCAGGTTGGCATGGCTTAGTGGTTAAGCTTCGACCTAGAAACCAGGAGGTCATGGTTGATTCCCAGTCAGGGCAACATGCCCAGGTTGCAGGTTCGACCCCCAGTAGGAGGCATGCGTTTGATTTCAGAGAGGAAAGGAGAGGGGGGAGAGAGAGAGAGAAACATCAATGATGAGAGAGAATCATCGATCAGCTGCCACCTGCACACCCCGTACTGGGGACTGAGCCCACAACCTGGTCATGTGCTTTTGACTGGAATCCAACCCAGGACCTTTCAGTCCACAGGCCGACGCTCTATCCACCTAGCCAAACCGGCTGGGGCTGAAATCAGTAAAATATATATATATTTTTTTTTTCTAAAAAAAGATGGTGGCCTGAACTAAGGTAAACATAGTGAGAATTGAATGTGAGCTGCAAGGGGGAGGAGACTGCTGTGATGATGTTCAGCTTTCCATCAGGTAGATGGTGGCTATTGTGTGGATGGTACTACTATTCACTGAAGAACAATTTGAATTGGAAAAAATAATTAAGTCAGTTTGGGATTGATGGATTTGAAAAATCCATTAAATCTTTTATAAAACATGGTAGCTAGATTTATAGGTCTGAAGCTTGAAGAGAGATCTGGGCTAAAAGTATAAATTTGAGAATTCTCAGAATATAAACTTGGAACTGAAACCATGGGATAGATGGGATCACCTAACACACTTCCTATAATATCCTATTAGCAACTCTGCCAATCACATTTTTACTGATAACTCCCATAGTTAGTTAATTCCCTCAAGATCCATCTTGCTCCTTAATTTGTTCTCCATTCTTCAAATTAGGCCCATATTTAACCAGCGCCTAGGTTAGATTAGGCTATGGCCATGACCCTTGCTATTCTTTATTGAATAAATTTTATCAAAGAACACATGCTAGTGTATCTGACTTACAGAGAGGAAAATTTCTTTTTTGAAGAGCTTCTACAGCAAAAAATATTTTCTCTTTTTAGCTCTAGGCTGAAACTCTTCTGAGCATGTGGCTCTTTGTTGTGTCCCTACTAAATCTGTTTATTGTCAATAACACAAAATCCTCTCAATATAATAAAATTTTCAACTCCCTAAGAAAGGCAAAATCATATTTACCATCCTAACTTCTAAATCACTGCAATTGTGCGAATCAAAACAAACCATTATGGGTTTGTTTGTTCTTTAGAAGTTGCTAAAGAGTTATTAACTCGCTTGTTTCTTATCTACATGGGTGCCCCCACATGGGTCTCAAATGAGGTAACATGACAGTTATAGAGGTAGTAACTTCTAGAACTAATAATAACTGAATAAAATTTCTGCCTTCCAGCCTCGCCCAGTGATAAAAACACCACAGGTATGACTGTCTTTTTCCTAAGCTTCTTTGTCTTCTGGAGGATTCCTTACCTCTTTGTTCTTTGAAGGGTACATATCTTCTAGTTTACTTCCAATTTTTTCTCAAAGATTGTTTTTAGTGTCCTTAATTCTTCCTCCCGCAGCCCCACCCCTGCCTTTGTATATGAGCTTCTGTCCTAAAAGTCATGTGAAAAGATTTGACCACCCCTTCATGATCCCAAAACAATCCTTTGGACTTTATTTGGTTACAGGGTTGGGAACTGACTGCAGGTACTCAAAAGTACTATAGACATCACGACTAAAATTGCTTTCTCAAATACAGTGGTTCTCAACCTTTTTAATGCCTCGACCCTTTAATACAGTTCCTCATGTTGTGGTGACCCCCAATTTCATTGTTACAAATTGAACATAATTAAAGCACAGTAATTAATCACAAAAACAATATGTAATTATATATGTGTTTTCCGATGGTCTTAGGTGACCCCTGTGAAAGGGTGGTTGGACCCCCAAAGGGGTTGCGACCCACAGGTTGAGAACCGCTGCTCTAACGCATTGATAATTCTGATGTGCAGCTATTGTTGACAACTACTGGGACAGGAAAATAGTTACCCGTCTTAGAAATTCCGTTTCTCAGAACGGGATTATCAGCATTTTTGTTTGATATTTCACCTGTATAATGCTAGGAGAACTTTTTTCCTAGAAAACCCGCAGAGATTATTTTAGCCACTTATACTTCCAGGTAGGAAAGCACCTAAATTTCACTTTAGTCAATTTCCTATTACTCTGCTTTGGTGAGCAGGAAAGAGATGCCACAATTTACAAAGATTTTCTGTAGAGACTACTTTGTATGCTTTTCCCACGTTTTCTCTCCTCCTCCATCCCCTTTTTAAAAAATGTTTATCTTTATTGTTGTATTACAGATGTCCCCCATTGTTTGTGTGTGTTTTTTCCTCCTCTACCTCTTTAATCCTTTGTTTATATCTCTCATGTTTGTTACGCCTCTCCCTGTTTTTTTTGTGTGTAAGCTTCTTCAGAGTGCCGGGATGAAAAATTTGCTTGCACAAGACTCTACTCTGTGCATCGGCCAGTCAAGCAATGCGTTCATCAGTTATGCTTTACCAGGTAAGGGGTCCCAGAATACCCAGAAAGCATCTTCCATGATAGTGTTTTCATGTCAGCAACTATTTAATGACTCCCACTATGGAATTTCAGTCTTTGGAGGGACAGAAGATTTTAGCATAATCCTCTTCAGCGGTTCTCAACCTGTGGGTCGAGAACAATGAAAATACATCCTGCATATCAGATATTTACATTACGATTCATAACAGTAGCAAAATTACAGTTATGAAGTAGCAACGAAAATAATTTTATGGTTGGGGGTCACCACAACATGAGGAACTGTATTAAAAGGTCGCGGCATTAGGAAGGTTGAGAACCACTGCTAGAGTCTAGCTGTTACTGAAAGTACCAAATAGAACCTGGAGTCTGGATTGAGGTATTCAGAGTACAGGCTGACTAACAAGTCCAGATGCTAGAGGGCAAATAAAAGTAAAGGCTGGAGGAAGGATAGTCACGAAGGAAACACAAGTACGTTGAATTTACTACCTCATAGAAAAAGGCTGAAATGAAAGATCCACGTCTGAAGTTAGAAAATAGTGGGGAGGAGTTAGTATTAAGCTTGATTCTAGGGAGAGTATGCAAAGTGTCGCTAATAAGAGTAATACCATTTTCTGAAATACCTAAGGAAATTCAGATAAGAGTGGGGAAATACCTAAGGAAATTCAGATAAGAAGTTGAAAAGGCGTCTTAGGCCTAGGCTAGTTCTCCCTCTCAACACTTCTTTCTGTCTCCTTATTTAACCATGACATTGGGACTATGGCAGTTTACGACGCATGTACATCATCAATAATGAGATTTGCTCCCGTCTTGTCTGTAAAGAACATGAAGCTATGAAAGGTAAGATGATGTCTGTGTTTGTAGTGGGGGAAGGGACAGTTATGAGGGAGGTAAAGAAGGACACAATGCTAATGGATCCAAGGTCTGGCTTTGGTGGAGGGCTTTAGGCCACCCTCTTAACTCACATCTGTCCCTTCTCCACCAAGTTACCCCAAGTAAGTAATCTAAGTAAAGCAGCATGCTTAATACATAAACATAACCCTACAAAAAGTACCCCCAGATCTCTTTCCAATTAGATAGTAACTCCAAATCTCTCCTGTATTTGGTCAGAGCCCTGGCTGCTTTGAAGATCATTCACTGAGGTTCTAGGTAAAAAGGCCAAGTCAATCATTACACATAGAGATGCTACTAGTCTGCAGCCATGTTTATAACTTACAAAAAAACTGCACAAAACATTAATTTGGAGACAGTAATGTTTGGGTAGGCCTTTAATTAAATTAGAAATAGATTGGACATTTAGAAACTGGCTACCTTATAAACAGTCCACAGCTTGCAAGCACCCTTTATATTGCTCATTGTGAAATTTCTGAGGTAGAGGAAGGTAGAAAGCCTTCGTAAAAACAATTAAATGGGTCGAAAGTGAGTGACCATGTATGATGGGAACAAAGATTCTTCTCACCTTCCCCATCGGCCAGCCCCCAAAGGTGGCTGTGGTTGGTGAGAGCACCACAGACAAGCCACTTCTGACTAAGCAGCCCGCCTTGTGCTGAGTTCCTGACTAAAAGCTGTACTTAACTTCGGAGAAGGAAACTTGCTGCTTGTCCCCACTGGCTCTGTGCAAGCCACCTGCAAGGGAAGCACCTTGAGATTGAGGTTGAGTCTTTGGGACTCTAGGCACTTTCAAGGGTCTCTGGGGACTTAGTCAAGTCAGCTATTTGCTCATAGTAAACACTTAGGTATATATTGAGTGATTGAAGCTCATGTTCTGGTTATTCAAAAGTCCATGATTAGAAAAAGTGGGAGCTAGGTGTAGAAAGGAAACTAACATTTACTGGCCACCTGTGCTAGGTACTTTGCATACATTATTCCATTTTAATACAACTAAACTGTTGAGGCAGGTATTTTAATGCTTATTTTATAGAAAGGATAGCGAAGTTCAGAAAATTTAAGAAACTTTCTAGTAAGTCTCTAGTGGTAAATAAGTGGTAGAGCTGTGATTCTAACTCAGATATATTCCTCCCCAACCTTCTCACTCCACCACACTGGTCTTCTCTTTCCCTTAAAACATCAGCCCTTTGTTATCTTCCTGCATTCTAATCCCATCATGCTCTGCTTCTCTTCTAGATGAGATTTGCCGCCAGATGGCTGGTCTGCCCCCAAGGCGACTCCGGCGTTCCAACTACTTCCGACTTCCTCCCTGTGAAAATGTCAATTTGCAGAGACCCAATGGTCTGTGATCATCAAGGAAAAGGAAAAAAGAAAAAAAATGTATGGGTGGGATGAAGAGAATGCTTTAGGAAGAGGGAACTCCTTGTCTAACCATTGTCAGCTAACCCATACATTAGTATTTCTTAGACCAAACCCTTTGCAATGTTTAGCTTTTGCCCCTACTCCCTGATGTTTCACCCAGACTGAAACATTGATCTCATTTTTGGTACTTACAATACAAACTCTATATTATTGCATGGTTTTACTGCTTCCCGATATCATAGACATAGTAGATAATTGATGACCAGGCAGTTTAAATGCAATTTCAAGGGAAAATAAACTTAAGGTTAATAATAGTTACTATTGAAGCTGTCTGAGATAGTTCTTAGGGTGGAAGAAATTATCATGGTCTATTTTGGCTAGCCATAGAACTTCATTTACTTTCCTTACAAGAGTTTCCTATACTAACTACCCTTTTTTTCTATAAAATTATAGTCCTCTTTACTCTTATTTTAACTATTTTGCTGACTATCATAACATTTACTTGGCAGGTTCTCTTTATGAAAAAGGTCATGACAATTTTTGTAACTCTAGAAAATTCTCCAGAGCCAATATTTATACAATCCTACTAACAATATATAAAGACCCCAAATGTTGCCTTCTGCTAAGCTCAGAGGCTGAGGCTAAAGAGAGGAGTATGCCAGGTATAGAACTTGGACCCATGGTTTCCTATTCAATTGTTGATGTGGTTGCCCAATGGCAAATAAGGGTAGAAAGTAAGTCTCATTTTCTTACTCATTTATGGTAGAATTGGGGTTAGTCCACATCCACAGGTAAATTAGACAACTAATGTCAAACCATATCACTGGTCTGAGTTTTTGTGAGTTGTTGCTACTTCCATTCTCACCACTTACCAAAATCTGTAGCGATTATTATTCAAATAGATTCTGGAATAGCCTGATTTGGGGCCTAAGAAGGGCATTCAGACCTGAACTTTAATAGGCAGGCACAAAGTTTACCTAATGGTTTATAGAAAAAAGTAAAAGAAGCACAATATTTAGACAACCCACACTCTTATCCTGGGTCTAGCAGTAACTAGGTAGCCTCAGATAAGTCATGTTTCCTCACTAGGCCCTGGTTTAATTTCCCCACTTTTAACAGGAGAAGGTTTAATGTACATTAGTTTCTTTTAATTCTATGATTCTCAAAGTTTAAATGTATTGTTAATATTTCTTGAAGCCTAGAGATGCAGTCTAACTCACAGCAAACATGTCTGCTTTATAAGGGGGGAGGGGAGGGGGGGAATAGCCTGTATTAATTAAATGGACAATAGTCCACAATATAATAGAACAAAATTTCACTATGAGTGACAAATTATATATTATGGACCGTCTATCTGAATAACTCAGTAACCTTCTTAAAAAGCCAATAGAATTCAAGTAGGAACTAGGGGAATCTGAGATAACCAGTTATATATGATAGAATACCACTTGTAGGGAGTGAATTTCTGTCATATCGCTGAGAAAACTACCCTGAGTCTTGGATTCTTGCTGTTAAGAAGCAATTTAGTTTAATGGGATTTGCACAATTTATTAAAGAAAAATGTTAGAAAAGGTCCCAAGGCATGCAATTTCTGCTCCACAGCCTCTAGAAGTAAATGTACTGACACATAGACAAACATATTATATGCATATTATAGCCGCTGTAGAGAAATCTCATGGGCACAGAGTTCCCAAGAATCATGTCAAAATGTCTTCATGAACTTGACCCTCCTACTGCATATTGAACGAGAGGTAGCATTCACCACTGGAAAGCACCTCAATCCCAGTATTGTGTATATTGCAAATTAAACATTTTAAAATAATTGTTCCAAATTTTCTTCTCAGAAGAGAGAAGTGTGTATGTCTGTTATTTCTTTTTCTATTTTATGTTTAAAAAGAAGACCTGAACTCATGCTTTTATTCCATTTTGAAAACTAAATAACAATATTGCTCAAATTTCTCTATTCCACTATCCTCTGTTGTATCCCTCTTCACTCCATAACTTTACTGTTGGTCCTCCAACATTCCAAATTTATTTACTTTCCTCCTGATGCCCTTCCTCAGTTCACTGAAAAATTCTTTCTTTTCTGCCCCCTTTAGGACCAACTGTCTTGCAAGGTGAAGTTCATGCTTTATTTTCACTTCTCTTTTGCATGATCAAATTCCTGTGTTTTGCCATTTCTTATTTTTCGTATGTTCTCTACCTGTTTTACTCTTCTTGATATGTAAACCAACTTGTCTAACTCACTTCCCAGCCTCTTTCCTCATCATTATAAAATATTCTTCTCCCTTATAGCTTCCTCCTAAAAATGGTCCCAGGTCAAAGCTTCTGAGGAGAAGTACCACTTCTCAACCTCTGTACTCTCTTCTCCATGGGCAGAATCCCATTCACCTCCTTTCTGTTTTGTGTTTGTTTGTAGGATGTGTTTTGTGTGTGTGTTTTTTAAGCCTTGACCCATTGTGAATCAGACCAATAACCCAAAACAAATGGAATAGGGAAACTGAGACAGATAGTTAAACGGTAGTTTGAAGCCTCCTAGAAAATCTAGATGCCAAGCAGTTTGCAGCCATTTAGTAAATCTATCTTCCCTAAACCAGGGACATTTTAAAAGTGAATGGTTTGCACTTCTCCTCCCCAATCAAAGGGTAAATAGCCTAAATCACCCTATTCATGGAGACAGATAGCAAAAATCCAATTAGTGCCATTTTCCAACATCTGTCCATTACCCAAGGACAGATGAAGAGAATAAACCTTATTTTAGTACATCAGCACAAAGCTGATGAATATTCTACTGAGATCTTCCTTTAAGAACTCTATCCTAGCTGGTTTGGCTCAGTGGATAAAGAGTCGGCCTGCAGACTGAAGGGTCCCATGTTCAATTCCTGTCAAGGGCACATGCCCAGGTTGCAGGCTCAGTCCCCAGTAGGGGGTGTGCAGGAGGAAGCCGATCAATGATTCTCTCTCTTCATTGATGTTTCTAGCTCTCTCTCCCTCTCCCTTCCTCTCTGAAATCCATGAAAATATACTTAAAAAAAAAACAACTACTTTAAATGCACAGCCTTTAAAACCCCTCAAAACAAAGGTCCAGAGTGCACTCTCCCTCCCAGGAGCATGCCCATGCCTCCATGAAAATATACTTTAAAAAAAAACAACTACTTTAAGTGCACAGCCTTTAAAACTCCTCAAAACAAAGGTCTAGAGTGCACTCTCCCTCCCAGGAGCATGCCCATGCCTCTTCCCACAGGGGTGCATCCCCTAAACTCTATGGGACCCCACGAGGCCTGCAACCAGGGCAATGAACAATGACAGTTCATCCCAGGAAAACCCCCTGAACCTGTCCCCAAAGTCCCTTTATCTCTGGTGTTTTTTAAAAAATATTTTTAAATTTATTTCAGATAAGAAGGAAGAGAGAGACAGAAACATCAATAATGAGAATCATTGATTGGCTGCCTCCTGCATGCCCCCCACTGGGAATTGAGCCAGAAACCTGGGCATGTGCCCTGACCAGGAATCAAACCAGGACCTCCTGGTTCATATGTCAACAACTACCACTGAGCCAACCAGCCGGGCTTCTCTAATTTCTTAGTGAGCCAAAGCAGACCAGTCTAGACCAATGGTTGGCAAACTGTCGCTTGCGAGCCACATGCGGCTCTTTGGCCCCGTGGCATGGGCCACGAAGTTTCAATCGCACTGTACGTGCGCGCCCGCACGTGGTATTTTGTGGAAGAGCCACACTCAAGGGGCCAGTTTTCCGACCACTGGTCTAGACTCATTTCTCCAACCCTTTCTTATTTTGTGCCTCAAAAGTTTTACCTGGACTCCTGTTGTGAAATTTGTTCTGCAGGAAGTCAAGAACACACACCCTGGGAACCTACCAGCTGGCCCCAGGCAGACCCTCTCAGGGCCAGGTTCCATTTCCAGTAACAATTGCAGGTCCCTACTGGTCTAGTTTTTTTCCCTTGTTCCTCCCACAAAAAGATTTGAAAACCTTTTACTCTTTAAGGTATTAATGTTATCCTTTTTTTCTTATCAATGCAAATGACAGCCTTCTTAAGCAAGGAACTTAAAATTTGATGAGAAAGAATTACGTGAACCAAAACAATGGATTTTAAATGTTGGAATTAAAGGGTTTGGTTAAAAGTTAGGCAATTTGAATGCCTTCCCGATACCTTGAAGAGATAGCAGGCTTATCTGCCTACTATAAGATTCACCCTTATGTTCTCTTCCAAAATTGAATCGATCCTGCTCTGAGCCTAACTTTTTCCATAGTTCATGCTTATAATAGAAGAAAGTTCTCCTTGAATGAACAAGTAAGTTCTGGAAATTCAAGTGTGCTCTGCACTCTCTAAATATAGTTCCATGCACACTTTCTCTGAGTATCCTTTTGACTTACAGGCAGATGGTGCAAACCCCAGCTGGTCTCCCACTTCTGGACCTTATTTATGATGACATCAAGCACTATATGTTGCTAGCCACAAGCTCCACCCTCCTCTGCTTTACGTGCTGTGGCAAAAGTTGACTGTTTGACCAAATACTTTACACCCGGTCAGAAGGTGCAAGCAATTTGCAACCTCTAAGGTTCTCCCTTCCTTCGGTACTGCTGTAACACAGTGCAGAAAGAAATCAAAGAAGCAGAAAAGAAGATAGCAGAGTGCTAAACAAGAGGGATAAGGAGATGGGAGAGTGATGACAGGTGGCCATCAGGGCAGGGGAACCAGGAGGCTAGAAGTTGGGAATTCACAAATCTGTGTGGAAGAAGGGAACTTGGAAAGTGTGGTAAAGGGATCTGAGAGGTATGGAACCTTACTGGGTAGAATGGGAGGATATTGGGAGCACAGCAGAAGAGAGGCGGGGCTGTCCTTAGAGTTCTGTCAACTCAGGGAGGCAAAGATTTGGTTAAAAAATGCAACATCCCCCCAAAAATTGAAAATCCTTGTATCCTTTAGTGTTTCACCAACCAAACATCAGTGAAAGTGACTTGTTGAATTTCTCTGTGGTGGAGAAACAGGTGGCCACTGTGTGTGTGTGTTTTTTCTAAAGCCAGTCAAGCAAAGCCAGGAGCGTCAGTCAAATGACAACTTCTGGGCAGAACCTAAGTTGAAAAAACAAATGTTTATATAAATAGAGGTGCAAAGCTCCTATTTTCCTGTTGACAAATCAAGCTTCACTTCACTTCAAACCATCAAATTTTTTGAAAAATAGCTGATAATTGCTTTTTTTTTTTCCAATTTGTCCAATCACTCAGTAAGGTTCTAGTATTTTCCTAACCCAGGGGTCCTGCAGTTTTTTCTCCTTTTCTTTCTCTAGTGTTTTTCTCTTTCCTTTCCCTTTCCCTTTTCCTTTGTTTTGTTTGTTTACTTAGCCATACGTCTATTCTGTGTAGCGAGTACTTTATTAAATTTACAAAATAATTCATGAAGATTGAATTCAGAATGATCTCAAATTTGTGGGAGATTCACCTCCCCCAATAATTCCTTAATAAAAGATAATGATGAGCTTTGAGCAAATATATGGAAATATTATAATGGAAACAACCTGAATTGTATTTAAGGGATTGATGGCCATTGAGGTATCACCCTACATCATTGTCATTATATACTGTTCCCTATGTTGTTCTGGTCAAACACAGGAGTTACAATGAAGGGTAAATAAGAACTGCACAGGAAAACATTGCAACCATTTGTATAAAACTACATCCATATATGTATACATCCACTCTTGAAAATAGATGAGATTTTTGGGGAGAAGGGAGATAAAGTAATATTAATACAAATAAACTTATGAAATGTGTAATATTAGCATCAAAGTCAATAGTTATTGAAAACAGGAATTACTACAAAAATGTTCAGATAAAATTATAAATGACAGCTGCTTAATTGGTTTAGAGAAACCAATTTATTTGTTGAAAAGTAATCTCTAATTTCATTAAGGTTAAACCACTATGCTCTTTTATGTTGCCATTATCTTAGAGAAACTGAGATAGATCTGACATCCTATATAATAAAAGCCCAGTGACTGAATGATGGAACAACCAGAACGACCGCTCGACCAGACTCTATGATGCACACTGACCACTAGGGGGCAGAGGCTCAATATAGGAGTTGCCCCCAGGTGGTCAGTGCGCTACCACAGTGGGAGCACTGCTCAGCTGACCTTAATGAGTGGCTGCTCCCGCATCGGGTCGATCCCCGCAGGCCACGCCCCCCCACCAGTGCACAAATGTCGTGCACCAGGTCTCTATTAGTATAATAATTGATCATTAAGATATAATAATTCATAAATTCAATTATAAATTAAATCATAAAGCATAATTCATAAGAATTACTATGTGTTCTAATGACATAGAGCAGGGATAATTTCTCTCTTGCCACATAGAAACTAAAAAATATTATATAATTTATGCAAAGAACATCTAGACCTCAAATCAACATAACTCTAGGATAACAAAACATATTTATATCATCCTGTTCATCTTAATATAAAAGAATTGGTCCCCTGGCAGGGTAGCTTAGTTGGTTAGAACATTTTCCCCATATGCCAGGGTTTCAGGTTTGTTTCTCGGTCAGAGCACATACAAGAATTAATGAATGTATAAATAAGTGGAACAACAAATTGACCTCTCCCTCTCTCTAATAAATTTTAAAAGGATGTCTGTTCATTTCAGGGCCAATCCTGTCATAGCACTCACAAATTATGTGATATTAAGTGAATAACTTCTCTATTGTAAATTGCTGGCAACACATCTGTGATTCTGAGAATTAACAAGATCAGGTTTTCAAAGATTACACACCTGTAATATTATCTTATCTAATAAAAGAGAAACATGCAAACT